AGCAGGGCATTGCCCCAGGGCTGGTAGGGCTCAGCAGCAGCTTTGGGATCACCGTGCATTTCTGCTTGCCCAACTGCTCTCCTGGTGCAGCACCCAAACACAGCACAGTGTGCGCTTACCATGTCTGCTGGTTGTCAGCATTGCAGGCTGAGGGCCAGACTGCAGGGATATTTCAAGGCTGGAATCTCCAAGCTTGCAATCAAGGCCTTCAGCACCTCCTTGAAATGGTGTTTTCCATGTAGCTCTGCACTTCCCCTTTTCAGTTCAGAACAGCTGCCCCTCACATTCCCTCAGGAAGGGAACACCAGCGGAGGTGCCATCATGGTTAGAGTTGGAAGTGATTGTGAATCGGGCTAATTATGACCTTGTTGCTATTTCTGAAACACGGTGGGACCACTCCCATGACTGGAGTGCTGAGCTAGATGGCTACAAGCTCTTCAGAAGGGATAGACGAGGGAAGAAGGGTGGTGGTGTGGCCCTTTGTATTAAAGACTGTCTTGAGTTTGAAGAGCTTGGGGTTGGGAATGATGGAGTGGAGTGTCTGTGGGTAAGGATCAGGGGGGAGGCCTGTAGGGGCAGCATCTTGGTGGGGGTCTGTTATAGACCGCCTACTCAGGATAAAGAGTTGGATGAGGCATTCTATGAGAAGCTCACGGAAGTCACGCAATCGCCAGCACTTGTTCTGATGGGAGACTTCAACTTCCCTGATATATGTTGGAAATATAATATAGCACAGAGGAAGCAGTCCAGGAGGTTTCTAGATTGTGTGGAAGATTGCTTCCTTACGCAACTGGTAGGAGAGCCTACCAGGGGCAGTGCCCTGATGGACCTGGTCTTCACTAACAGAGAAGGACTGGTGGGAGAAGTGAAGGCTGAGGACCGTCTTGGGCAGAGTGAACACAGAAGTGTAGAATTCTGTAGAATTAAAATAGAAATGTTCTCCATTCTTGGGGATGTCAAAAGAGTGATCAGCAAAACTACCTTCTTGAACTTCCAGAGGGTGGACTTTGATCTGTTCAGGGCACTTGTAGCGCAGATCCCCTGGGAGTCACTTCTCAAGGGTAAAGGGGCCCAGGAAGCCTGGACGCTCCTCAAGACAGAAATCTTAAAGGCACAAGAACAGGCTGTCCCTGAGTGTCGTAAGGTGAGCTGTAGGGGAAGACAACCAGTGTGGATGAGCCAGGAATTACTGTTGAGACTCAGGGAGAAAAAGAGAGTCTACGTCCTCTGGAAGAAGGGACAGGCTACTTGGGGAGATTACAAAGAAGTAGCTAAGGTATGCAGGGAGGAAGTTAGGATGCAAAAGCCCAACTTGAACTCAGGTTGGCCTCTGCAGTAAAAGACAATAAAAAAATCCTTTTATAAATATATCACTGGCAAAAGAAGAACCAAAGATAATTCTCATCCTATACTTGATGCAGCAGGGAATGTGGTCACTGAGGACAAGGAGAGGGCTGAGGTCCTCAATGCCTTCTTTACATCTGCCTTTAACAGCCAGGCCAGTTATCCTCTGGGCTTTTTATGCCCCGATCTGGAAGTCTGGGATGCTGCTCAGAATATGCCCCCAACGATGCCAGTGGACACAGTCAGAGAGCTTCTCCTCCGTCTGGACTGTCACAAGTCACAACCTTGTGATTCTGTGATTCTGTGATTCTATGAATTGATCCCCAAAGTAAGCCTTTTCTTATTGGGCATTAGCTCCTACTACTGTTACAAAATCACCTATGGGTGCTAGGAGGCACCCGTATCCACCAAAAGATAAACCTCTTTATCGTGCTCCCCTCTCTTCGGTTCTGACATCCTTATCACTCCTTGCTCATTTTTGCCTTCCTCAGCCTGTGTCCCTTCCAAACTTTTCACTTTCCAAACTCTCATCATTACATAAACTACTAACATCTTATTTCAGTTTCTCCTCCTCATCTCCAGAGGCTTCTAGTGCTAACACTGGGATTTTGGGTTTCCTAGATCTCTACAGAGGCTATTTTCACTTTCAGTGCCCTATCCTCTCCGCCTCCCCCTTTGCAAGTAATGTTATTTACAGCAGCACTCTCCATCTGCAGCTTACTCTCTCACACCAAGTTCTACTCTCAGGGGAGCAGTGCAGGGGGGTTGCTCTCATGCCAGCACAGATAAACTCACTTTCTCTTTAACCCTTTTTCCTTTGTACGTTATTCCACTATTTGTACCCTGAGTTACACTTCTACATACCCTCAATTCTATTTCTGTATACCACTAACAATTACCTTTCTTATACATCAAAACAGTTTGTCCCGTTCCTTTCAAAATCCACTAACCAAACCGTACAGTTCTTCAACTTCCACAAACACCCAGCACTTGGTCTCTCACGATTAGGGTACTCAGTTATAAAACTGGTCCCATTATTCCATTTATGTTCTGGTTTCTTATTCAATATTCCCCCTCTGGCTCCCCAGCAATGTTTCTCCAGTGAGCCATAGTTGAGAGCCAACTCAGTGAGCCAACACCCCGTGTTTCATAACAGCCTCGTAGGTAACACTTTCACGACATAAACATTTAACAACAACAAAGACAGTGACAATAATCAGTACAATTTATCCTCAGGATCCTTCTCTCTCTGCCTCCCTCCAGGGCCCAACCTTCCCTCCATCTTCCTTTACAATGATCTATAACATATGTATTTCCATCATCATCCCAATCTCATTTCATTTAAATGGACAAAATATGTATGTTAACAAATAACACAGAGAACAAAACAACTTTTGCTTCATCCATCTCTGGCCGCTTCCCTCACAGGAAAACAAAACAGTGGATCAGGACTCTGCTCTCACTTCGTAGCTCAGCTATGTCTCAATCTCCCCACACTCACACAGTACTGCCTTAGTCAAAATGTAAGTTTGAAATTTCTTAGTTCGTAGTCCTAATTTTCTCAGAGGATATCCCAAATATTCTGATGGTATTAATTCAGATACACGGTACCAAATATTTACAACAGATGGTAATAGCAATTATATAACCTGTAGCTCCTGTTATCACAGCCAAGAGAACCAAGATAACCATTTAACAGGATACCCACTACATCTTGTCCCCTTATTTCACGTACAGCTTACAAGGTCCATTTGTGGGTGCTCCCCAAGGAGCTGCTCACCAGAGTCTGCCCACCCCAGCCGGCAACCTACCAAACCTGTGAGCTCACTTCCCAGGGGCAGCAGCAAGACTCTACCCTGCGTAGGACCTCTCCATACAGCTTATGGGTCCGCTCATTCCATGCACATACCTGGTCCACTGATGGATGGTCCTTTGCTCCTGCACTGATCGGATGAGGAAGGGGAGTCCTTCCGAGAAATCTTGGGGTGCACCTAAGGCGTCCCTCTTCTCAACTGGTCCTGCAGTCGGGCAGAGGGGGTCCCATCTGGGGTGCCAAACTGGTGTGTGGAATCAAACTCTGTAACCCAAGTAAGATTACAAAGCAGGTACGGTTTTATTCAGTGCTGTGTGGACACTGGGTGCAAGGGGTATAGATCCGCTTCTGACTGTTTTCACTATAAACTCCTGGCCTTTTGGGGGGGCATCCCCCCACACCGGTTTCTTCTTGCCCTGTGGACATCTAATCACCTCCCTGCCAAATGTCCTTGGGCTGTCCTCAAACCCTTATCTTTATGGCCTCCATCCCCCTCACTGTCTCAGTCACAGCGTCTGCCATCCCTTATTTTCTAACAAGCTCTACATATCTGCTTCTATAAACTAACTATTCCCCTTCATCCCCCCTTATTCTCAGTCACTGTGAAGCCTTCTTGCCTTTTTACTTTCACCTGTGGGGCCCATCTCACCTTTCACATTCACCCTACCAGCACGTCTTATCTTCAAGAAATGAAATGATGCAGCGTTACAGGAAAGGTCAGGGTGAGCTCATATTGTATTCTTCCTTATCTGAATGTTCATGTTTTTAGTAGGATGCCTTGATTACAACAGGAAGGTTAGGTACCTTCTGTAAAGCTTTTCTATGCACCATCTGATTACAAATCAAACCTTGGGTTCACAATCTAGAATGTGATGATAAACTTCTCCTGGGAGGGGTAGTTACTGACAAGCAACCAATGCTTGCCTGTAGCCACTGCAAAGCCCAAAGAAAATGTGGATATGGAAGGAAAATCGTCAGTTTCTGTTCATATTCAATTAATGCATTACCCGAATCAGTTTCCACCTTTCTGCACAATAATAGCTACTCAGTGACGAGCTGCAGGTTTGCAGTTTCTTTATGCTTACTACTATTCTTCCAGTTTGAAATACTGAGCCAAAAACATCTGCCAAGAGATTTTAAATACACAGACTCTTAAACAAACATTAATTTGTTGTTTTTTTTTAATCTTCACTCGTAGCTCAGGTTCTCGGTCTTTAAATAACCAGTAGTTGTTATCAACTTTTCCATTTGACCCAAGTCTCCTCCTCCCATTTCTCTGCCAGGGCTTCAAGAAAACAATTGTACCAACAATTGTACTCAAACCCTCTCCCTGAGCTCTACTTTGTGGCATTTAATTAATGACAAAGTGAGATACCTATCAATTAAAATGTCCGCCCATACAGCCAAGATGTTTGTGCTAGGACACATTCTTGGAATAATTCATAGTTTTAACCTGCCCAGTTTACAGAACTAACTTTCTGAAAGTATTTCTGGAAACTGTAGTATCTACTTAATATGAGTGGTAAAACTGTATTTTCTATGCCAGTACCATAATCGATATTTGGATGCGCTCAGGTGCAGGCTTGTATGTTGAACTTGATCTCTTCTTGTATGAAACATTCATCACTTAACAGCACTTTCTTTATAAGCAGGATCAATGCAATGGTAGAAATATCTCATTAAACCTCAATTATGCTTGTATTATTCAATGTCTCAGTAATACTATGCAGGGGAGAGTCCGTCAAATAGCATTTGACTTCAAGCTATAATCTTTCTATTTAAAAGAGCAAAACTTTCTTTGTAGTTGCATCATAGGTGCATTTCACCAAGTATGCACGCACTAACTAGACATTTGTTTCTGTCAAGGTTATTATTTCAGTAAGCCAGTTAATTGCTGATGTTGTTGGAATTGGAGGAACTAGATTTCAGCAGTCCCTGTCCATCATCAATAATTGTGCCAATCACGACAAAATTATTAAGGTCTGGCTTTATTCTTCTTTCTATACCGTAGAAAGGCGGCTTGAAAACTTTTCCACAGCGCCTTTTGCAATGACATTTTAACTTCTTCTGTTAGGCGAGCAATAGATAAAGGCAGTAGTTAAACCAAGTTTTCTGTGTTTTAGCACACTACGTTCCCTTCTGATGTAAAGGATTTAACAAAACGTATTCGTACAGTACTGATGGCTACAGCTCAGATGAAGGAGCATGAGAACGATCCCGAAATGCTTGTAGACCTCCAGTACAGTTTGGCAAAGTCTTACGCTAGTACACCTGAGCTAAGGAAGACGTGGTTGGACAGCATGGCAAGGATCCATGTTAAAAATGGGGATCTTTCAGAGGTGAGAGAAAGATCAGACTTAATGAATTTATATCAATAAATTTATTAATAACTTTACGCTTAACTTTCTTGAAATTGCAAATACATTGTGTGAATGCTACTGCATAATAATGATTTTTAATTTTGAATGGTTGATTAATTTCACTGGCTGATATCTTCTTTAAGCCAGTTCTGATTATTAAGGTATGGAATATGTTTGAATGCTCTAGCAGTTAAGATGAAGAATGAAGAATCAGGCCTTCTGCTTACTAATATTCTTCAGTTATCAGTTGCCTAAAACACTTTGAAGCTCTGCCTTGAATTCCTCTCTGGTTGCCTTTACAGAATTATCTTAATGTTCTTCCAGAAAGCTTACCAGAAAAACTCCTGATACTCTTAAAATTGTTGAACAGCAGTTTTGTTGCTTGAAAACAGAAAGCTGATTGATTTCTCTGTGCTGTTTTAATTCTAGCAAAAGGGAGAAAAGAGAGTTGGGATTCTTGTATGCCTTCACAGAATCACAGAATCCAGAGATCATTGAGTCCAACCCCCCTGCCAAAGCAGGTTCCCTACAGCAGGTCGCACAGGTCGGCATCCAGGCAGGTCTTGAACATCTCCAGAGAAGGAGACTCCACCACCTCCCTGGCAGCCTGTTCCAGTGCTCCGTCACCTCACTGTAAAGAAGTTCCTGCGCACATTTGTGTGGAACTTCGTATGCTGCAGTTTCCAGCCATTTCCCCTTGTCCTGTCTCCACACAATACTGAAAACAGTCCGGCCTCGCCACTCTGCCCCCCACACCTTAGATATTTATAGACCTGGATCAGGTCCCCTCTCAGTCTTCTTTTCTCAAGGCTGAACAGACCCAGTTCACTCAGCCTTTCCTCATAGGAGAGATGCTCCAGGCCCTTCACCATCTTTGTGGCCCTCCGCTGGACTCTTTCCAAGAGATCCCTGTCTTTTTTGTACTGTATGCCTTGATGCATAGCCATTATATCAGCATACAGAATTGATGTTGTTTCTTTCTGGAAGTTTGTTCCATCTGAAAACAAATCATGTTGTATCGTATCACCAAATTTCATAAACGTATCTATTTCACTACCATGTAAGCAAGTACCTCCGAGAAATCATCGCTGCTGCCTTACGTCTCATTGCTGATATTCTTTTATTCTGCCTAGTAGCTATGCAGAAGACGTATAGAGTCCTCTGTCAGTAGTTTACGTTTTGATGGAAGCAGGTCCAGCTCTTTCAGTCTAGTTTTTTTAAAAACAGACCTGAGGAAATGACTGATTTTTATTGAAAATATGGAATATTTGACTGTACAGCTAGAGAAAAACCCCTGTACATCATCAAGTCCAGTGCCATGCGAAGTATGAATTAGAGAGAATCTCTGGCAGTTACTTACATTTTTTCTTCAGCTCCAGAGCCAGAGATTTTTCAGCTTCCATAGGTAAACATTTTGCTGAATCTTGAATCTTTTTTGTCCTTTCCTCGAAGAAAAGTGATCAGTGCCAATTTAATAAAAACATCTCATGTTTGTAGACAACTCTGCCCCTTTTATTTAGTTTTCTAGATCGTACCAAGCAAATTCCTTCCAATACATCCCTGAAGGAAATTTACCTGGTGTTATTACAGCATGGAAGTCATTAGCTTGTGAACAGTGGGCAGCCTCCAACTGAGTGCTACTCAATGCTCTGGTGATAAGGGAGGCCCTTGCACAGTAACTGTTCTGTGTAAGTGAGGAGGAGAATTCTTACACAAGTTATCATCTTCAAAGCAGCAAACAAGGAAAACCTAAGAAATTATTCCAGTCTAGAGCTCTTCATAAATACTTAGTTTTCAGTTTTGCATGATGACTGCAATTTACAAAAGTGTTCCTGTTCTTGCTTTTAGGCAGCAATGTGCTATGTTCATGTAGCAGCACTGGTTGCAGAATATCTCACACGGAAAGGTATGATTTTGAAGTCCTACTTACATGTGGGTTGGTTGTTTTATTCATTATGTGTAGGAATAGCAGTGGTTTCCCTGAGGAAGCTGTAGGCAAAAAATTCTGACTTGAGTGAATAGCAAGCTTACAGCAGCATATTTACATGTTTAAGAACCAGCATTTTAGCTGAAGCTAAAACAGAACTTTCAGGAAGGGAAAAGCTTTTAATTTAATACAACAGTTGCTAATACCTGGTTAGACCCTTTCTAAGCAACTCTATCAATGAATATTCTTATTTGTTAAGTAATTTCTCAGGTCTCTCATTATTTTTTTGCCTCTTACAGGATGCTTATTCACATATAGGCTATTTCCCCTTCTCCAGTGATTTGAGAAGCTCCTCTGTGACCAAATCTGAAACTCTGTTGTCTTAAGTTACAGTTCCAAGTACTGCAAGTCTAACAAAACCCATAACAAGTGATAATCTTTATATACTTGCTTTGGGTTCTTTGGGTGACTTACTATTCTTGTCTCCTGTCACATGGAAATTACTTCCTGTTAGTAATTTGGAGTCAGTCCTACCTATGGCATTTCCAGGAGCAAGACATAAACGTGCCTTTGAGGCAGTCATTCAGTGAAGCCGCTGGTTGTACAACTCCCATGAGTGAGGAGAAAGAATCCTTCTAGGAACGAGTGGTGAAGTAAATATGTGCAAGTCCTTGTGCTTCTGTACTTGTCACTGATTGCTCTTGAGGCTTTTACAAGACAGATTTTGGCCACATAGCCTGACTGCTTCATTCAGCAATCTGATATAATAAAAAAAACTTACACAGAATGGGTAAAAGAGGTAGGTTTCACTTTAGAATATTCTAAAACCAATTCTTGGTGAATATATATTTCAGTTAAGGGAGTTAGATTGATATATTTTTTTGCTTATTTCTAGGCCGACTTTCTGTATCTACCCCTGACTAATCTGTGCAGCCATCCTCTGACTATCTTGTGTAGTTCACATCAGTCTATGCACAGTGTTCAGACTGGAGACTTGGATATGCCAGGGCTTGTTCTTGCACAGTTCTTGCGTGATCAGTGTTATGAAATACTGTAGAAGTGAACTTAGTTACCGTAGGCTTTGGGGTGGGAGAGATTGGACACAATTCTTAGCTAAAATAGGAAGATTCATACACTGCATAGTTTTGTAGGTCAGAATGCAAACGTCAACATGCTTGTCTAAAAAAACGATTTCTACTTAAGATGAGCTCTGCTCTTTTAATCATACAGTGAGAAGCTGTGTTTTCTTCTATTGTTTTGGTAGTAAGTGTATTTAAATACAGCTTCTGACTTATCCAGCGTCACAAAATGGCCTAATGTTACTCTGCAAGAGGAAGGTATTTTGCCAGCGTTTAAGTGAATGTGTCTGGTTTTCTTTTTCAATGATAGGGATGTTTAGGCAAGGCTGTATTGCCTTCAGAGTAATCACACCCAATATAGATGAAGAAGCTTCAATGATGGAGGATGTCGGGATGCAAGATGTTCACTTCAACGAAGTAAGTAAACATCAGCATGTAAGAACTGATGCACATTAAAGCGCCATTTGTTTTTCCAGGTGTTGTGTTTCTGAGATTGACTGCTATCACCTTCTTTGCCACCATTCTTATCCTAATAGAAAACAAATAAATAAATAGGATTATTCTCCGAGCTGTCCAGGTTCTAGGGAATTTACTACATGCGTATGTTTTACATGAAGCATCAGCATAAAGACACTGCTGTGATCATGCTGTGTATTTGCTAGCATAGTTGAGGGAGTGAGGGACAGACAACTGGTTGCAGAAACTGAGTTGAACAAAAGATCAGCGTTGTATAACCATAATTGCACAACAAAAAATATTTTGTGTTCTCATTTGTGTATGATGAAGGTGTATGACAAAATTATTTGTCTGCAAATTGAACACACTGCAGCAGATTGAGGAGCAATAGACATAGTGGTTTTAAGCCTTGACCTTTTACTCCCAAGTTCTGGTACTACTTTGCCCTATTGTTGTAAGACAAAAATTGTAGACTTGCCTGTTTGTTTTTGTTTTTTTTTTATACCTCTGAAGGTCTTTTGCTAGTCCAAGCAAAAATGTCTTTATTTTCTCCTCATAACATACATGCTAAAGGAATTGAAGCACGGGACTTGGACAAATTAAATGAGGGAAACAGGGATTGTAATGAAAGAAAGACATTGGGAAGAACAGTAGCAGTTGCATTAGAGCAGGACCTTGAAGGACCCAGGATGAGTTTTGCCCCCAGTGGACTGAATGCAGTGTGCACACAGCAGGGTAAAAACATTTGTTTTCTGGTAGATGTGGGTGCCTCCCCCTCTGTGCTGCATCCAGATTACTACCCATAGATGATTTCTGTAGCAGTAGTACGAGCTACTGGTCAACAAGAAAAAGCTTATGAATTAAATAAAAAGTGGAGCTAATGGTAAAGCAAGAAACAATGGGAGTAAGCAACTGTAGCTGTAAATAGCTTTCTGTACTTTGTTTTGTAGAGAGATCTAATTCAGTGGTTCTGTTTTATGAGCTGGTGTTCCACCTGGGCTCTGTATCATGCGCTGGCCATGCAGATGCGAAGCACAAGTGGAAAAAACCTCGCAGACCTTGAGAAGAATAAAAGCAGGAGAGTCTGCGATGGGTGAGAAAGGAAAAGTGATCTTTGAAGCAGGGGACGCCCTGCTGTCACTGCCTTTCACATCCACCACCAGAATGCACCTTGTACCTCCTCTGCCATTTCGGCAGTTTGCCATCTCTCTGGAGTCAATAAGTAATAACAAATTAGCTTAGAAAGTTTCCATTTCCCACTTATGGAATTGTCTAAAATAAATGCCTGTATGAGTGCATCCACACTGACTCAAAAAATCGTAACCTCCTACTTAACTTTTATGTTTAGAGTGTTATCAATCAAGGCTTTGATTGAGTTATGATGATTATGTTATTAATATAATTAGTGCTATTATTTTATAGCGTGGTAACGGTTTGTTAATTAAAAAAAAAACAACGGTTAAAAGTTGTAAAGGAGGACAGAATGCTAAAAAAGGAAACTTGTAAATGTGTATCAGTTTTGTGAGAACCTGTAATAAGCGATTTGGATTGTTCATATCTGAGTCCATACAAGGACCCAACTGGACCGAGGGTGCTGAAAGGAAGCTCATGCTGCATAGAGTAATTAGTAATTTCCTACCTAGGGTATTTCCAGGAGCAAGAGAGTGGTGAAGTAAATATGTGCAAGTCCTTGTGCTTCTGTACTTGTCACTGATTGCTCTTGAGGCTTTTACAAGACAGATTTTGGCCACATAGCCTGACTGCTTCATTCAGCAATCTGATATAAGCAGACATGTGCTAGGACACATTCTTGGAATAATTCATAGTTTTAACCTGCCCAGTTTACAGAAGTCAGAAGTCACATACCGTTCTTTCTGATCACCACATGTAGCTTAACTGTTTGAAGTTAGGCTCCCCAAGTTCTCTGTTATGCCTTGAAAATGCACCGTGCTTCCTCCAAGTACAAAGCTTTACAGAAACAAGGTGAAGCTCTATCTCTGAGGAGCATTTGCTGTTAGTAGTCCTGCTGTCTTCTCAGCTCTCCTATGAAATGGACCCAAGAAGGAACTCCAAATCCTCTGTGCTCAGCTTCTGCTCCTGTCAGTGGGACGGTGACAAAAAGCTCCCACAAACATCATCCTTAGTGCATCAGCTTTCTGGATGCAAACGGACCAGTCCAGAAGCTCCCGTGAAGGAATTGTTTGGAACTCTACCTTTGTGGGGTGAATTAAAACATTTGTACTCATCAGAAATAATTCTCTGTTTTCATTTTTAGGGTATTTGTGTGACAGTTTTTTACGTTTGGTTTAAGAGAGTCCTTCAGTTCTGAGAGATAACAGGAGAGGAAGCCGATGTGACCCACGTAGCATTTATCTCAAACTGCTGGGAAAGCTTGCAGTCTCTCTCATGGATGCTTCTCACTTGGATGTCTCCTTCTAGGAGCCATCCAGGCACTTGAGGCCTACTGTTTACTTTCACAAAACGCACACAGTTTATATAGGATGTGCTTGGGAACAAACCCACATTCCTGTCCACCACCATGGCTTATACAAGGAGAAGAGGCTAAATGGCCAAATCTAGTTCTCAGGGGAGAAATCTCGTCTTCCTACTCTAACAGCTCAACAACGGTAGAAGCACCTCAGTGACTTCTGCATGGGAGAAACACTGGCATTAGTCGCTGTGTTTTGGACTGCTTGTTGGCCAGACCGACCTCAGCAGGGACTCACTGCCTGCTGTGCTGCTGGGTGTGCATTGCAGGCAGGCACATCCAGTATGCTTCTCTTTCTACAGCATAAGCTGCTTCTTACAAGTGTACGTGCTGTAAGTCTGCTATAACCATACGCTCTTTCTTCAGCTGAATGAAAGAAAGGATGGAAGACAGAGAGGTGACACAGGAGAACCAGCATGGCTTCACCAAGGGCAAATCCTGCTTGACCAACACAGTGGCTTTTTAAGACGCTGTGAAGGGAAGAGACACTGACCATCCATCTGAACTTCAGTAAGGCCTCTGACACAGTACAACACAACATTCTTCTCCCCAAACTGGACAGATATGGATTTGATGGCAGGACTGTTCAATGGGCAAAGAACCAGCTGCAGGATTGAGTCCAGAGTGTGGTGCTCAATGGCACAGGCGAGCTGATTTAGCTGTGCATGTCCCTGTTCACTGCAGGGGAACCGGACTACACGGCTTTTTAAGGTGCCCTCAATGCTAATGGTTCTGTGTCAAAAACATTAGGAGTCAGTGGTAACTGATGGGGGGTAGTGCTCCTCCAAGCAAACTACCCCCCATGCAAAGCAACATCAGCAATCCACATTGAGCTCTCCATCAGGGTCAGAGAAGCCTTCTGTATGTCTGAATTAAGTGTGGGCTGCAGGTGCTCCTCATTATTACCTGAGAAGAAACCGACCTGGCCAGCAGCAGCCAGGTAATCATTAAGTGCGTGCTGCAGGAGGCCAGCAGAGCGATTGCATAAAGCCGTGTCTCGTAACAGCAACAAGCATCAAAGGGTTCCATGCTTCCTGCAGGTGGAATTTCTCTTTTGGCACCACCGACTGATGTTTGCCGTTCCCGTGCTCTCAACGCATTCAAACCTCGGCACTGTGCGGCTTTCCTAATCTACTCAAAACCCAACGAAACAAAATCATCAACAACAAAGCCCGCAGTAATTAAACAAAGTCCCCAAACCCTCGCCCGGACAAACCCGGCAGCAAGCACAGAGCTGCCTCCACCTCGGAACGGCTCCGGGCCGAGGGCGGACACCTCCAACAGCCGCCCCGCGCCCCTCCCGCACCTGCGCGGCTGCGGGCGGCGCCGGGACCGGCCGGGGCGGGGGCCCCGCAGAGCCGCCTTAAATCCCGGCCGCCCCCATCTCCCTCCATCCCTCCCGCTGTCCGCTCTTTGTCCGTCCCTCTGTCCCTCTGTCCCCGCGCGGCCGCCAGCAGCGCGCCGGCCCCATGGGTAGGTGCGGGGATGGGTGTGCGGGAGGGTCGAGCGCGGTGTTCATCCCGCTGCTGGGTAGCGGTTTTTTTCAGACGGAGTTTGCCAGGGGCTGAGTCGTACGGTGGTTTGAGGCGCACGGGACAACAAATCCGTGCAGTCGGTCCTCCGGGCTGGAGTGCTGCCTGGGCTCCCGACCTGAGATGCCCAACGAAACCAATGCCAGGTGCTCAACGTGAGGTATCCAGACAAAACCAGTGCAGGGTATCTAATACAGGGTGCCCAACAAGGCCGATGTGGGATGCCTGATAAGTCCAACATAAGCCTCCTAATGTGGGGCACTCAATATGCAGTGCCCAACGAGACCAACGCGGGGGTACCTAATGCAGGGCTCCCTACACAACCAGTGCCACTGCAGCCCAGATGGGTTGACTGCCTCTTGTAGTGGTGGAGATGAGCAGGCAGAGCTTGCCCCAAGGGCACCTGGGTCCCGTTGTCTTGTCAGGGGAGATGGTGGGACCCCTGGGAGGGAGAAACCCTCTGTGCCCATGTAGCATCAGGCTTGCTATGCTGTGGGTTTGTTTTAGTGCTGGTTGTGTCAGCCTCTTTCTGGAAGGGGCTCTGCAGCTGTTGGTCCTGGGGACAGGAGCATCCTTGTGAGGCTGCTCCAGGAGGAGGCCGAGGCTCAGCCACGTGAGAGCGGCTGGCTGTGAAGTAAGAACATCCCTTATGAGATCACAGTCTGATAAAAAAAAATACCTCGATATCTCAAGGAAATACAGTGTGTGGCTGCTCAGGGTGAAAGAGAACAGTTCTAGGGCTTGTTTTTGTGAGGAGAGAATGAATTACTGAGGCTTGTCCTGAAGAGGGAGTGCACCAACATGCCACCCACAAACCCCAGATTTGTTGCTGAAATTGGTGCAGAATGCCAAGCGTTCTGTTCTTTTGGAGCTCTGTCCCTGAGGCTGCCTGCTACTGGAGTTGCTTGGGCCGTTTAGGTTCCTCTGTTGAAACGCTGGCTGTCTGAATAACACTGCTTATATAGTGCATCATTTTTTTATATACGATGTTGTGT